TTCTGCTTGATCTATTCAGCTATTGAAACTTGTGTGTGCTTCATGAAGTTCTTGTACTGTGTTTTTCAGCTCCATCAAGTTGTTTATGTTCTTCTCTAAGCTGGTTATTCTAGTTAGCCTTTCATCTAATGTTTTTTCAAGGTTTTTACCTTCCTGGCATTGGGATAGAACATGTTCCTTTAACTTAGAGAAGTTTGTTATTACCCACCTTCTGAAGCCTGCTTCTGTCAATTCGGCAAATTCGTTCTCTGTCCTGCTTTGTTCCCTTGCTGGTGAGGAGTTGTGAACTCGTGGTGGGGGAGAGACGTTCTGGTTTTTGATGGTTTCATTCCTCTTGCACTGGTTTCTCCTCATCCCTTGAATTTTTATAGTTTTGATCTCAGGTAGCTGCCTGGGGAGGCAGCCTTTCCTTTATCTGCCTGTGGAGGTGCTGCTGGGCTGCCACAGATTCAGTAGAGCTACTGCATCTTTTATTTACTCAGGAAAATTAGGCTGGCTTCTGCAAAGGCGTCTTCCATTCCACCTGCTGAGCTGGATAAGTTCCTGGTCACTCTCTAACTGACATTCTGGGTGTCTAACTCTGGAGTGAGGCTTTTTTGACTTGCTGGGCTTTGTGCGGCAGGGGGACTGATCCTGCCATTTGGGCTGTTTCCCTGGATTCCATTTCCCTTCTTACCAGGGGGACGGGTAGCTCCATCCCACTGGCCTTTTGGCTTTCTCAGCGTCTGCTGGTGCTTCTGCCTAGATCTATGCTGACTCCCCAGCTGGCTGAAGTTGCTGTTCTGCTCTGTTCAGGCAGCTCGCTAAGGCTTTTCAGCCCAGCGAAGATCTCCTGTTCTGTGGGTTGTAGAGGGCTTGGGTAGAGCACTGTATCAGAACCGAGGTCTCAGGGGGATCTCCCAGTCCTCCAGCTGGTTGCACGCTTCTCCTGGGTGGGGCAGTGCCCCACCTTGCTGAAAAATGCCCTATTTGCTTTATACCCACTGTCTGACCCGACCCACAAAATGAACATGGTACCTTTTTTCAAGGTACCACTCGGCTTCTGCATCTCTCTCGCTGGGAGCTGCTTTCTGGAGCTGCCTCTTATTCAGCCATCTTGGGATTGCCAGGTATATTATTAAAAATTAAGTTGTAGGCCAGGTGAGGTGGCTCATGCCTGTAATCCCAGCACTTGGGGAGGCAGAGGAAGGCATATCATCATCTAAGGTCAGAAGTTTGAGACCAGCCTGGCTAACATGTTGAAACCCCATTTCTACTAAAAACACAAAAAATTAGCTGGGTGTGGTGGTGCATGCCTGTAACCCCAGCTATTCGGAAGGTTAAGGCAGGAGAGGAGAAGCACTTTAATCTCGGAGGTGAAGGTTGCAGTGAGCTGAGATGGCGCCATTGCACTCTGGCTTGGGCAACAAAAGCATAAAGTTGTCTCAAAACAACAACAAAAAAATAAGTTATATTTTCAATGTTTCATAATAGCCTATCACATTATAAACAATTTTGGTGATAAACATAACAGGACAGGATTTAGATTTGACAAAAGTACTGAAAATATATTGACCTCAAGTTGTAGATAGTTCAGAATAGCCAATGATTAAGTTTCTTGCATATTTCTAATTTTTTATCTACTATCATCTGTAAAAAATTTTTGTCGTCTTCAAATTTCAATATTAAATTTTGAAGAGAAAGTTTTTTTTTCTAATCAATGGCACGAAATATGTCTCTACAAAAATATGCACTTTTGTTACCTAATTTCACATCAATTGATTTTTATTACTAAGATGACTGAGCACTTAAATAAATTCATTTATTATATAATATAGAATATGTCAATATCTAATTAGCACTGATGTCATTTTTTAAAATTATAACTATTTTGTCATTCATTTTTTATGTATACTTTTTTACCTGGTCAATTTCTTTTCAAATCTAAATTGTAAAGAAAAAGTATTAAACTATTTAATGTATAAGTATATTTCTGTATATTTAAGCTTCTTTCTAAGATGCATTTAATGGCATTTAAAGGAAGCTGCATATATTGGCCTTATTTACACTTAATCCCTTTGTAAGTGTTAATATGTATGTAAAAATTTCAATTTCTTAGCATTAGCCTATATGAATATGGCCTTGTGTTCCTCATATGAGTCACTAAAATTCGTAAAATGGATCTTGTTTAGGAAGAGTATCTCATACCCTTGATTTTTTAAATAATAATGCATCATTTACATAAAGAATAGCCTTCAATAATTCTCATTATGTGAGAATTGCTGTTGAATTTCAGAAATATAAAGGAATGTGTGTTTACAAAAGTGATGTCACATAACCTGTATATATTTTTCTCTTTCATCTGTAAGGCAGTTGGACAGCACAGAACTACAGCCAATTTTGGGGAATGACTTTAGAAGATGGTTTCAAATTTCGCCTTGGCACCTTGCCACCTAGTCCCATGCTCCTGAGCATGAATGAAATGACAGTAAGTGTTCTTTCTGATTCATGTATGTGCATGTATTTGTATAAGTGTGTTCATGTGTACATCAAAAGCAGTTTAAAATTACTAAAATAATGAGTTTTCAGCTTTCAGAGTCATAATTTTGTCACGTAAATACAAAAATCCTTTCCCCAATGGTTGTTAAATCCCTCAAAATTTTCATGTGGGCTTTGCAAATTTACTGTTATCAATTAGACATTGTCTCCTTAAGAATGATTGAGTGGGCTGGCAAGATGGCTGAATAGTAACAGCTCCAGTTGGCAGCTCCAGGTGAGATCAACACAGAAGGCAGGTGATTTCTGCATTATCAACTGAGGTACCTGGATCATCTCATTGGGAATGGTTAGAGCGTGGGTGCAGCTCACGGAGGGTGAGCAGAAGCAGGGTGGTGTGTTGTCTCACTCTGAAAGAGCAAGGGGTTGGGGAACTCCCTCTCCTAGGCCAGGGAAGCCATGAGGGACTATGCCATCAGGAACCATGCTATCTGGTCCAGATACTACACTTTTCCCATGGTCTTTGCAACCTGCAGATCAGGAGATTCCCTCAGATGCCTATACCACCAGGGCCCTGGGTTTCAAGTGGCCAAAACTCAGTGGCCATTTGGGCAGACACCGAGCTATGTGCAGGAGTTTTTTTTTTTTTTTTTTTTTTTTTTTCCTCCATAACCTGGAATGCCAGTGACACAGAAGTGCTGACTCCCCTGAAAAGGGGATTGATGCCAGGGTTCTGAGTGGTCTTTCTTGACAGATCCAACCCCCATGGAGCCCAGCTAAGATCCACTGGCTTGAAATTCTTACTGACAGCACAGCAGTCTAAAGTTAACCTGGGACACTCCAGCTTAGTGGGAGCAGGGCCACCCACCATTACTGAGGCTTGAGTAGACAGCTTTCTCCTCTCAGTGTAAACAAAACCACTGGGAAGTTTGGACTGGGCAGAGCCTACTGCAGCACAGCAAAGCCGTTGTAGCCAGACTGCCTCTCTAGATTCCTCCTCTCTGGGAAGGGCATCTTTGAAAGAAAGGTGGCAGCCCCAGTCAGGAGTTATAGATAAAACTCTTGTATCCCTGGGACAGAGCACCTGGGGGAAGGGGCAGCTATGGGTACAGCTTCAGCAGACTTAAACCTTCCTGCTTGCCAGCTCTGAAGAGAGCAGCAGATATCCTGGCACCGCGCTCAAGCTCTGCTAAGGGACAGACTGCCTCCTCAAGACCTCTGTGCTTCCTGACTGGAAGACACCTGTCAGCAGGGGTTGACAGATACCTCATACAGGAGAGCTCTGGCTGGCATTGGGCAGGTTTCCCTCTGGGACAAAGCTTCCAGAGGAAGGAGCAGGCAGCAATTTTTGCTGTTCTGCAGCCCCCTCTGGTGATATCCAGGCAATCCCTTTACTGGGGATATACCCAAAGGATTATAAATCATTCTACTATAAAGACACATGCACATGTATGTTTATTGTAGCACTATTCACAATAGCAAAGACTTGGAACCAACCCAAATGCCTCTCAGTGATGGATTAGATAAAGAAAATGTGACACATATACACCATGGAATACTATGCAGTCACAAAAAAGGAGGAAGGATGAGTTAATGTTCTTTGCTGGGACATGGATGAACCTGGAAACCATCATCCTCAGCAAACTAACACAGGAACAGAAAACCAAACACTGCATGTTCTTACTCATAAGTGGGATTGAACAATGAGAACATATGGGCAAAGGGAGAGAAACATCATGCACCGGGGCCTATTGAGGTGAAGGGCAAGGGGAAGGTGAACATTAGGAGAAATACCACATGTAGATGATGGGTTGATGGGTACAGCAAACCACCATAGCACATGTATACCTATGTAGCTAACCTGCACATTCTGCACGTGTATCCCAGAAATTAAAGTGTAATAAAAAATTAAAATAGATAATCCAAAAAAGCACAATTGAATGTTCATTTACATTGCCAATGACTTCACACAAATAACAATTTCAGATTTTTGGTTTTTCAGTATGCCAATGCTTCAGCAAATCATGGTTCCTATTTTTCTTTTTTACCTAAACATAGTCATTTTGTCCTGTCTGTAGGAGTATCCATTATCAGAATAAAATAAATGTTGGTATCTTCAGACATATATGCTATGATGATTAGTAAAAGTTGATCCTCAAAAATCCTCAATATTTTTGTTAAAGAATATCTTCAGATTTTGTCTAATGACCTCACAAACTCCCTTGTAAAATTACCTCAATTTTCCTAACATTCGTATACTTTACACGATTATACTGGTTTTTCCCCTTTCACTTTTTAGAGACGTCATCATCTGCTAATAGGTACCTTGCACAAAGAAGTTTCTACCTCACTTGTTATTACAAACCTCTTACTCTCAGAGCTGCAATGTTACCACCCAGTGTGTGGTGTTCCCCAGGCACATGTATTTCCCAGTTGAGATGTTGGTTGTTTTCAAGGCCTGTTATGAATGCTCAGGGCAGAGTGGTGCTTCCAGGCTGCTGGAGTGTAAACTCTCCGTTCCCCAATGAAGACTTCTGGTCCTGGCTGCCTGGAAGCTCTCGGCATCTTTAGCAAGCAGGATTGTTGTTTGCTGTTGGATGAGTTATAAATGCACGGGTTTCTCTTTAAATGTTTAATGTACTTTGCTTTTGAGTGATCATCACCTGAGTTATTATTCTGATTCAAGTTCCAGTAGCAGGGCCCTCTAAATTATAACTATTATCAGAGAAGTTAATAACAGACATTTATTGAGTAGGTGTGTGTTAAAGTACTTAGCAATTTCATACATGATCTCATTTAATTTCCCCAGCAGCATGATGTAGTGGATACTATGATTACTCACATTTTAAAGGCAGGCAAATTGAGATTGGGAAGTTAAATCATGCTGAGATTGAGAGAGGTTAAGAGCCACCCCAGAATTACTTGTATTGCGTAGCCAGGACACATCTGAAAAATCTGTCCCTCTAAAAAGTTATTAGAGTTCCAGTAGAGTCAATAAGCGTTGGCTAATTCAGGTTCAAAGTAGTAAAAAGACTTAATCTCTTAACCAAAGCTAGTTTTCTGAAATGTTCAGCTTTGATTACTTTTAGGTCTCCCCTACAATAAGGAAGATTTACATCTTTAGAGATGTGGCTCCAATTTGTGGTTTTGAGTGACCTGACCGTATGGTCAACTGAAAAAGAGTAACGTTTTTCTGTTTTATGTCTCATTTTTGTTCCTGTCCAGCAGGAAAAAAATAATAGGCAGCAAGCATTATTTAAGAAAAAGGGACAGCCTTTTATAAGGTTTGCTCTTTCACTTGCTTTTATTGAGGGCCATGGTGGGCCACACACTCACTTATGTGTGTCTATATATTTCCTGAAAATTTTATTTCTAATGTATCGTTTGTAAACTAATTTCTGCAGCTTGGAATATTTTATGTTCTAGAGAAAATGAGTTACATTTCTTTCCCAAGTTTCCACTCACTATAGCAAAAAAAAAAAAAAAAAAAAAAAAAAAATAAAAAAACAAATTTTTACAAAAAAAAAAAAAAAAAAAAAAAAAAAAAGAAATTTAATTCAAAATCATTTATTGGCTCCTGGGGATTTGTTTGCATAAAAATCACTGTGGTGATATTTAAATTAAAACTCTTAATTATGAGTTGGGAAGAATTTAAATTACCTAGTGCTTTGAATTATTGTAATAAGTTACAACTCCTGGAATTGCCAAGTACTTCCAGGAAAGCAATAAGAAAAATTTAACTGAACCAATAAGAGTTCTGTTACACTTAGCATATAAGTCAAGGAAATGCATCTTATTTCTAGGGCACAGTAGTTAAGGACAAAATTTCTGAATGTTAGAGATATTTTAATATCTGGCCAGGTGAAAAAGAATCAGAAATAATAGCAGGTATTTCTAGGAAGAACTTGAAGTATGAACTGAGTTGAACTGGAAACTATAGGAAGCTGTAGCTACTATTTAGTTCTATATAGCTAGTTCTTAGCCTGTTGATTACATAGAAAAACCCAATATGTGATATCAAACTACCTCCAAGTACAGTGACAATGAATTCCTTTTTGTGGGAATTCTTCTGGATAACTGGTTCTCGCCCCCCCACTGATTTTTTCCAACTTTTAAAAAACTGTTTTCAACATACATACTATACATATAGCTAGGGTTAGGCAGTAGCCAACATATGATTTAAAGCATACTGAAAAATTTCCATGCACCTCTGTCTCCAAATATCTCCTTGGCCATATTGCTTAAATAAGAGTTGGGATTTGGGAAATTATTATCTCTGGGTGGGAAAGATGAGCCATGAGTCATCCTGAATTCTTGGGAAAGCTGTTTCCTTCCCTGGCTGCTTTTCTGGCTTCATTCCTTAGCTTAAGTCATTATTCCCATAATGTGTCTACTGGCTCCTCCACTTATTGCCTCAGGCTCCTTCTGCACAAAATGCCAATGGTGGTAGTATCTAGCTCATAGCGTTGCATAAGTCCCGTCAAACACTGGATGAGAAATGCTTAGCACAGTACTTTAATATAGTAAAGTATTAAATGCTATTATATAATATAAAGTTGTTCTTTCTCCCTTGTATTGACCTTGGGAGAATAGCAGTGTTCTGAGATAAGTTAATGTTGTAAGGACTAAGTTATTAAAACCTTCATTATTTGGAGCATTTCGTTTGATAACGGTGTAGCCCTGGATTTATTGGCTCTGATACAGCTTATATATTTCTGGTGAACTGAGAGTTCTGTGATGCTCTCCTATCAAATCAAAATCAACTTTGTACCTGATTGTTTTGTCAGACATAATGTTCAAGTGCTTCTGAATTTGGGAGATAGTGCCAGGAAGCTTCACTTGTGTTATGTCTTCTTATAAATATTTTGAAAAAATAATGTTTTCACACAGAAATGTGAAAATTAAGAGTTCATTTATATGTTTGACTCCGTTAAAATTTGTTTCTTTAACAATTTTGAAATTATTTATTCCCCAAGGAGACAAATTAGGTTA